TGTGTGTGTGTGTGTGTGTGTGTGTGTGTGTGTGTGTGTGTGTGTGTGCGTGTTATTTTGTCCGTATTGTTGGCCAGGAGCTGTGGCCTGAAAGTCACCTGTGCCTGTTGCAGCGGCAACCAAAGGACCCACTGGTGGACACCAGTGGTGATAGAGTCTGTTAGGTTGAAGAAGGAGGCCTTCAGGACTTTGCTTTCCTGGAGGACTCCTGAAGCAGCTGACGGTACAAGGTGGCAAAGAGGGTTGCAGCTTCGGTGGTTGCYGATGCAAAAGCTCTTGCGTGGGAGGAATTCGAAGAGGCCATGGAGAAGAACTTTCGGTTGGCCTCGAGGAGGTTCAGGCAAACCGTTCAGGGAAAGAAAGTGTTCCCTGTCCCAGGCTGTTCTTGGCTTGGGTGGGGAACTGCTGACCAGGACTGAGGATATTGTTGGGCAGTGGAAGGAACCCTTTGAGAATCTCCTGAATCCACCCTCCATGTCCACCTTTGAGGAGGGAGAGTCTGAAGACTCTGGGAAAGACGAGTCCGTTACCATGGCAGAGGTCACCGAGGTAGTCAAAAAGCTCCTTGGTGGCAGGGCGCCAGAGGTGGATGAGATTCGCCCTGAGATGCTGAAGGCTGTTGTGGGGYTGTCATGGTTGACACGTCTCTTCAACATCACATGGAGGACTGGGACAACTCCTGTGGAGTGGCACACCAAGGTGGTAGTTCCCATTTTTAAAAASAGGGACCCGAGAGTGTGTTCTAACTATCGTGGGATCACACTTCTCTCCCTCTCCAGGAAAGTTGACTCCAGGGTGTTGGAAGGGAGGCTCCGATCGATTGTCGAACCTCAAATTCAGGAGGAGCAGGGTTGCTTTCATCCTGGGCGTATAGAACAGTGAACTGCATCTTTACCCTTGCAGAGTTGCTACGGGGTTCATGGGAGTCTGCCTCTCTGGTCTACATGTGTTTTGTCGACTTGGAGAAGGCTTATGACCGTGTTCCTCTGGGAATTCTGTGGGGGGAGCTGCAGGAGGATGGAGTGTCTGGGTTGCTACTAAGAGTCATCCAGTCCCTGTAGAACCAAAGCAGGAGCTGTGTTCACATTCTTGGCACAAAGTCGAGTAGGGATGTGTACATTTGACATTTGAATCAATTTGGTTTCAATATCCGGTACCTGGGAATCGGTACTGGTACTCAACGGTACCAATTTTCGGTCCTTTGTGTGTGTTGGTTTTTTAAATAACAAACTTAATTTTTTAATTTAACATTTTTATTCCTCAATATATAAAATTTAANAAACACAGAAGAACTGGTCCAGGTGCACCTTCTTCTGGAAGAGACAAGAAAAAACACGTTATTGATAGAAGTAATTACAATAAACATGTAGAGAAGAGAGACTAAAGACAACAGCAAGACAAGACAAGACAAGAATGCAAACGTCTTCTCCTGCTGGTATTCCACAGATCTGTATGTCTAATCACAGCACTGTCTTGAAAAATAAAATAATTTGAAATAAATAATGTTTACGATTTATGCAAAGAACTTTCCTCTAAATTTTTGGTGCATTCAGTCTGATCCAASCAGCAACATTTGCTACAGCTTCAGTAAAAAAAACACTCCATCAGTTCTTCTCAGCAACTACAAACTTGATTTTGTTCATTTCCATAATTCTCTCAATCAGCAAAGCTCCGTGATGCCATTATTATTAATGCAGTATTACGTTTGGACTAAAATTAGTTTTTCCAACATAGCAAGTTGAACATTTCATCATATCTGAGCACACCTGACCTATGGTGTATTAATTATGAGTTTTTTATGTTTGGTGATCTCCCTTATATTACCCTATGTTTGTTATTGTCAGTGCTACAATTGTTCTGATGTGTGCAGCTTAAAGATTTTGYTGACTTTACATCATCAAATGTTTTCATCTTCAGTGTTCTGTTTGTTTTCTGTCTGTTCAGAAGGAAAACATTGGTGACCTACTGATTGTGAAGGCTCAGCTGAGTCAGGCCGGAATATTCACCTGCACGGCTCAGACCGTTGTGGACAGCGCTTCTTCTTCAGCTAAACTGGTTGTCCGTGGTAAGACTAGTCCGTCTGCTCAGACTGTCTTCTAACAGCAGCTCCCTTTAGAGGAAACAAAGGCAACGGGTAATTTTTACAGAGTAGATGAAAATGTGCTAATTTAATGGAGAGTGTTAACAGTAGTTGGTGTGGAAAAAATGTGATGTGGTAGAACTTATAACAACAACAAATACTGAACAAAATCTTTTGAGTGATTTCCAACCAAATTCATGTCAAGTTGGTTTAGCATCATGTTTCTCTGTGCAGGTAGACACCCTGATTGTAGTCCATCATTTTGATCATTGTGGAAATAAATTTAGAGATTTTTCTTTCCTGTGCAGGACCCCCTGGACCACCTGGAGGTTTACTGGTGAAGAACGTGGCAGAGACGTCTGTGGAGATAAGATGGAGTCGTGGTTATGATAACCACAGTCCCATTGGCAGATACATCATAACAGGACGGTCTTCTCTGTCATCAGAGTGGAAGAAGATGAGGACAGGTGTGTGTGTGTGTGTGTGTGTGTGTGTGTGTGTGTGTGTGTGTGTGT